GTGTGTGTGTGTGTGTGTGTGTGTGTGTGTGTGTGTGTGTGTGTGTGTGTGTGTGTATATATATATATATATGTATGTATGTATTTATGTATGTATGTATATAGACATACATACATATATACATACATAATACATGGATGCATCCAAGCATACATGCATACATACATATATATATACATACATACTTACATATATACATACATACATACATATATACATACATGGATGCATCCATACATACATACATACATACATACATTCATATATTAAAGCATCCATACATGCATCCATGCATCCATACATACATACATACATACATACATACATACATATACATACATACATACATACATACATACATACATACATACATACATACATACATACTTACTTACTTACTTACATACTTAATATATATATATATATATGTGTGTGTGTGTGTGTGTGTATACATATATGAATAGGCGCATCTGTTTATGATTTGCATCTGATTATGATTTGTAGTATGTTTAGCAATATATTGACACGATCACAAATATTTCGCACACACAAATATACTCCCGTCGATGGAAGACAAAATAATGTAAAACACCAGCCTGCATACATGTATCTCGAAGTACTGTGTACTCGCGTAGACACGGGCAATACATTCCAGCTGAAAATAAAAACTTACCCCAAATGCTCGCAAGCATACACTGTACTACATACCTCGTAAAACGTGGTCGTAATCACCACTCTCGCCACTGCACACACTATGCGCAGCATTGTCTCCTACGCTGAGCTTTGTGTCCGTTGGTGATTGCACTGAATGAACTGGCTGTACTAACCCATCCAACTTCGCATACGCACGATTTCTCATCATGGACATGTCGAAGTCGGCTTCGTCAAACGCACTGAGATGTGCAGAGTCAAGCAGTGACTGGAAGTCGTCGTCCAGAGTTGTGTCTGGCTTAACCAGGCCCATATCGAAGTTGTAAGCGCCTGTGTGGAAGTTTGGCATGGGGCTTGACCCTGTTGCGAGGTTGCCAGCATAGTAACTGTGGGCAGCGTGAGTGTTGTCGCTGGCGGTGATGATAGCAGTGGGAAATGTACCCACCTCGGGGTTGTTTATGTTACGGGCTTGAGATTCTAAGTTGAGCATGTTGAGCGTGTCTCCTGGTTTATGCTGATTGCCGTACTGGTTCTGCGGGAGACCAGAACTAGACTGGAATTCTCGAGTCTGGTGCTGGTGCTGTTGTTGTTGCTGTTGCCTTTGTTGCTGTTGCTGCAGAAGCTGCTGGCGTTGCTGTTGGATGTGTATATCGTGGTCGCGTGAGGTATTGCCGCCGTTGTTGTTATAGTCCGTCTGCGTGTGCTGGTTTACGCTGTAATCGGCTTGTGTGGTTCCTTGCTGTAGATAAGTATTCTGTGCACCGCTGAAATATGCTGAGAAGTTGTTTTGTTGCTGTGGTTGCACAAAGCTAGAATAACTGTCAAAGTCACTCTGCCCCGACACGTCGGCAGGTCCGCTGTATCCTTGCTGCTGAGTGAACACATACTGTGGTGCACCTGGTTCCAACTTCATATATGGTTTCGCATTGACATTCAACCCTGCGCTGCCATTCGTACGACTATGCTGTAGGTCTATGAATGACCGGGAACGCTTGTGATCCGCTTCTACCGCACGCCTATCCCGTGCGTAAGGCACATTCATGCTCTTCTTTTTATTTGGCCCTGACATAGTGTTCTGTGGTTATGTCATACGAGGTCTCTCTGTATTATTGAATGTCACTATCCATCTGCCAAACCTATATCGATGCTGTGGAATAAGGCGCGGCATGCGATCTTCGAACGACAGCGTCTCCTCTCAAGTAAATACTCGACTATTGATGGAATAGAATAATTTTTAGTTAACTACGTGTGGTATAATTTTCAGGCGGAATATAATGCCGGGGGACTGTACCAGGAGATGCGTGGTTAATAGACAAAGTCATATTTAAGAATATATATATGTACAGAAATAAATATTAATTTTTTTTAAACAAATACAAAACACAACAAAAATAAAATATCATAGCCTACTAATGGGGCCTTGAGGCTCTGGGGGGCATAGGGTTGGGGGGCTTGGGGCAGGGGGGCTTGGGGCTGGAGGACTTGGGGCTAGAGGACTTCGGGCTAGAGGAATTGGGGCTAGAGGAATTGGGGCTGGAGGGCTTGGGGCTGGGGCCCGCTGGCCCTGAAGGGCGACAGCGGACTTTTGGATTTTTATTTGCAACCACTGTCCGTGAGGCTTAAGTTAGACTCCTTATCAGTGACGCTTATAACTGCGACCATTATGTCTGACGCTTAAATTTACCACCACCATAACGCCCTTTTTGGGCACAGATTCTATTCTCGCTGTAGTGATACTATTTTCATCACAACCAATATAATATATATATATATATATATATA